CATTCCTGCAGCCATGTAACTAGGGTTGGGTTTTTTTAGAAGCTTCTGCACGTTTTAGCTGGAAATCCGCCAAGGATTTTTTTGCTGATAGAGTTTTAAAAATCTCTCCAAATTTTATTTTAGCCATTTGATTTTCAATTTTCTTTGAATTTTAAGGGAAATTTTTTTCCCTGAGCTCATACTGTGCTTTTAGAATACAATTTGCTTGCCAAAAGTTTGTTTATTTAGTGGATTATCTCAAGCATAGAAAGGTATGAGCATGAAAAGCACAAGAGTAAAGGGCTAGAGAAAGCTTTTTATTCCTTAAAGTTTGTTTGTGACTTTCTCTTTCTCTTTCTCTACATATTCTCTTGACTATTTTTTACTGCCCAATCTATTAGAGAACAGCTCAGAATTCAGAGTTGCATCTGCAAATTCAACACCACAGCTTCACTCTTATGGTACCCAAATATAAGTAAACCAACCAATTTAGCATTATTCAGTTACACTCAAACAAAGAAGAAACTGATGATGAATTTAGATGCATTGGAAATTATTGATTTTATTATTTACACAAAGACTCTGTTTTTCATGAAGGGATTTTTCATTCTTTAAAGATGTATTGTTATTTACATAACAATTTTTGTATCTCTGTGTTTTCGTTAAATTAAATTTTAGGAATAAGCTTGACATTATAACCTGAATGCTGTTTATAATTACTCTACAGTAGGCCGAACTTTTTTTGGAACTTCCTTACTTTTGTTACAGCAAACATGTAATTGTTTTGTCAGTTTTGGGGGGCTTTCTGCATAAACATTGTCCAGTTAGAAATTCTCATAGACACATCCAATTGTTTGCTCCCAAAACACTTTTACATGTGTCCTGGTTTTATCTTTTTGACTCATCTGTCATGGAAATACTCCAGAGCATTTTGGTTTTTTATTATTAAGTTTATAAGAAAGCTTATGCATGGTGTCGTCTTTTCTAAATTAAGTGGTGTTTTTTGTTTTTCCTCTGGCAACATGAGAAGATATTCTTCATCAAATAACACATACCTACAGAATGATAAAATTTTATTAAATGTTTTAGAAGGATTAAAATTTGGAAGACTTTAAGTTAAGCATAAATGGTAATTTTTACAGATAAACTGTGCAGGATGATGCTACTACATCAATAGTAGATGCAGGAATTCTGACTTTCATATACAGAAGTAGTAAAAAAAAAGTAAAATGAGAGCTGCTGTAATGATCTTATATTTTAATAGATAAAAAATAATCTAACAAGAATTTGTTTCTGCTCTGTTCAACAATGTCCCTTTCTATTCTTACAGGGCACACTTAAGTCTGGAACATCTTGCTTGTATCCATCTTAAAAACAAAAAATAAAAAAGCCAAATGTACCCTATTTAACACTTTTGCCCAACTCAGTGCAAAATCACTCCTGTGACCATCCACCGTTGGCACAGAGTGTAATGAAACAATCAAAGAATTCTGTGAAGCTCTTTAGGAAAAGTCTTTTCCCAAAAACATCAGGAGAAATGTGATTTCTTCTGCCTCTCCTTCTTTAGAAGGATAATCTGTATTGGTTAATTTGCAGGAACTATAATCTTTGGTCACAATATTCACACAGAAGTAGAGAGAGTTTCTCAAAAATATTTAAAAATCCAACCAGCAAATTTCCTATTCTACTTTTTCTTAAAATGCAGCAGAAGTGAAAAGGTAAACCAGAAGGGATAAAAGTATGATAAAACAGGATATACTGCTTGACCTTTCAAGAGTTTTCAAATACAATCTAAGACAGCAGAGGTTTATCTAATCATTGCACT